ACAGATTGAATCTGAGAAATCAAGATTCTTCTTTTTACTTTAATTCTGGTATCTCATATTGGACATGTCCAAAACTATACTCCCCACCTGACTCCAATCTAACACCCAACATTATTTTCTTTTTTTTCCCTTGGACATGCCCAAACCCAGAATAACAGAACCAACTAATCCCTATTCTCACATACGCCCCTCGTGTTCTGTCTTCTGCACTTTGCTTTGGCTGTCCTCTTTTTTTTCAATCCTTTGATTCTGTACCCCACCCCCACCTTCCAGTGGCCAAAAGCTATTTTTTTAAGCCAATTTCAAATTTCGTCTTCTCTAGAAATCCTTCTTTAGCTTCCTTCTGTAAACTTTTATATCATCTTATTTTTCTCTCTCCCAAGGCATTTACCATTCATTCATCAAACATTTTTTGTGCACTGTGTTAAGTGTTGAGCATGCAGATGTGAACAAATGGTCCTTAATCTCAGAGTCTGCAATCCATTGGGCTGACAGACATTAAATAATGAACACAGAATACCTAATTAAATTGGGATAAGTGCTAGGATAAAGTTATCAGCATAAAGTAAGGGAAGCTTTGGTGATGACGGAACATTTGAATAGAATCTGGAAGGATGTGGGAGGGGCCAGACATAGGAACCAATTTCTGTATTCTGAGGCATGCAAAAGATTGTAGCGTTCAAGGACCTCAGTCTGGCTGGTCAGACTTTGACACTGATATTAAAATGAGATTGAATTATAGAAAATGTTAGGGCCCAGATTATGTTGACTCTTACAGGTCATAGAAAGGATTCTGGAATTTATTCAAAATATAGGAAAGAAGTCCAGAAAGATATAGCCAAGGAATACATACAATTTAATTATGCCTGTGATCTAAAAAAAGAAAGAAAGAAATCATGTAGCTTTGGTTGGGATAAGAGTAGGAAAGAACAGTATCACAGGTCACACTTTTATGTTCATGTCCAGCTCCTTGAAGTCAACATCTACACATTGTATTTGTTATATGTTGTTCTTATTTATCTCCTCCCAAAGCCTAGACTGCATTTTGCTCATAATTGACTCACGTAGGAGGCAGCCTAATAAAAATAAGTTGAATCTTAGAGTCAAAATCCCCATAGGTTCAAGTTCTGATTTCATTGACTCTCTATTCCTGAGGATGTGGCAACCTCTCTGATTCTCATTTGCTTATCTTGAAATGACAGTAATATTACCTAGCTCAAAATATTGTTCTCAAGATTGCATGAGCTAATGCATGAAAAACACTTATCATCTCTAAGGCAATAATAAATGGTAGCTTTTGCTTTACTAGTAATATTTATTGGATGAGTCAACAACCATCAATCCTCATTTGCCATTTTCCATATTGTTTCCTTGAACATTCACTGCTTTTCACTAATACAAGTGTTTTAATTAATTCACAGAAAATTAAGAGTAAATAAAGTATGGTCATCCCTAGGAATCACAGTGGTTTCATGTTGACAAGATATACAAAGCAGAAATTCATAAAGAATGTTTTTATAATTTGGTAGAGGTTGAAAA